AGACAGAGGAAGATGTAGATGCCGCATTTTAGTTCCATGGGTTACACAAATAATTTATCAGGATGCCAAGGTTCTTTTTAAGAAGTCTCAGTTTGATACTATGATTTTTTTTTTCGAAATGTAATTTGTTACCTGATAGCAACAATGTAATATGTATAACAATGCTGTCAATCAATTAATTGGCTCACGCTACTCTCATTATTATCGATGAAAAACAAGGACTAGGATTATCAATTCAATTGCATTTTTAGAAAGGGAGCCATCAGAGGAATGCACATGTCTACTCTAATAATCTGTAACAATTTCGTGACGACAGGGGAGGCATTTCATGAAGCATGGGAGGCCTATAACGCTATGGCTCTAGATAGTTTACAATATATATACACATACTCAACAATTATGCTAAATGACTTAATCCACTTAATCACGGTTTAAATAACCAAATAATTTAACTTATTGATATATTTCATCACTCTTTTCCCACCCCCTTTAATAATCAGGAGTGATAGAACATAATTATTGATTTTCACACACAACCCATCCTACCGTTGCCAGCAAGCTATTCCTAGGCGGCATTTCATCTCTTTTATTGTAGCATAAAGCATAAAGCCAAAAAAAAGAAGAAGAAGGTGACGATGATCTCCCCCAATTTTCTGAAAGATTCTCAGCAAAAAGAAATTATTATAGCAAAGAGAAAAATACTTCGATTTGCAATTTCTAGAGCATAAAGAGAAAGACTTTGATCTCCTCACAACCTTGCAAACAAATATTTAACAAGAAACATAACAACTTGAACATTTAGCAAGAAAACAATAAGTTAAAAAAATTAGAGGGAAAAGAAAATTTGAAACGTACATGGAAGATATAGCTTCTATGAATCACGGTTTCTAACTCTTCTCCTTTTCTTTGGTGCATCATTCACCAAACTTGCAAGCCGTTGAGGTTTATTAGTAAATATCACAATCCAAAACATTGTTGATCCACATAAAGCTCCACAAACATACCCTAGCAAGACAGGTTCCCATCCAAATTCAAATCTAGCCTCAAAACTTGAACTTTGCAGCAATGGATATCTTTCCCCATTGGGGATGCAAGGAATCATTAGTTGAAAACCATGCAATTGCTTGTTTCCTTCAAAGGAATCACTTGTGAAAGTCTCAAACTGCTGGCCCCTAGGAATGCAACCTTCAAGTTGATTTTGTGAAAGGTTTAAAATAGATAGGAAGTTCAGATTAGTCAACTCTATAGGAATTTTTCCAATGAGCTTGTTTGATGACAAGTCCAACCATTCCAAATTTCTCAAATTTCCTAGTGAGGTTGGAATCACACCAATGAGCCTATTATTAGAAAAATTGAGCCCCTTCAATGCTCTAAGCTTCCCAATAGATATTGGAATCTCTCCCTCAAACATGTTATTAGATAGATCAATGCATATGAAAATAGTCAAGATCTTTTCCATATGAATGTCATGTCCTTTCAAGGTTACCTCAATAGAGTCATTATATGTGTCAAACTGATCAGATTGATTATAACCAATGTATTCTAAATCAATTTCTCCCTCTTGATTTTTCATAGCATCAAAAGATTTGAAGTATGTTGCAGGTAAAGGGCCAGTTAAATTGTTGTTGGCTGTCAAAAACTCTCAACTTTGCGAAGGCATAGTTGGCTTTGTTGTTTAAATTAGGGATAAAGCCATGTAACTTATTCTCTCTAAGAACAAGCACTTGCAATTCTTTAACGTCTTGAACCCAATGAGGAAATGTATCATGAATGTCATTTCTACCAAGATCTATGACTTCTAAATTTGTGCAATTGACCAAAGATTGAGGTAACAACCCATGCAAAAAATTGTCATTAAGATTTAGGGTCCTCAGCTTGTTTCCCACATCAAATGTTTTTGGTATGGTGCCAAAAAAGCTATTGTTTTGCAAATCCAAAATAGAAAGAGAAGGGCTAGAGCTCCCAATACAGTGTGGAATTGGGCAACTGAAGTTGTTGTGGGACAAATTGAGAACTTCAAGAGAGCTACCATTGCAAATTGAAGAAGTGAGCTCTCCTTGAAGCAAGTTGAAACTCAGGTCAATGAAACGCATGTTTTTCCAAGAGAAGTGGTCGAATTGCAGTCCTATGAGAAAGTTGTGAGAAAGGTCCAAAGATAAGGTTAGTTATGAGGAAAAAAAATAACTCAGATTCTCCCCTAAAAATTTTACTTGCTCCCTCTAAAAATAATTCAGTTTTCCCTACCCAAAACAAATTTATTGGACCTCAGTTTTTAAAATCTAAAGACATATACTTGAAAATATAATATTCTTACTCTATTGATTATAAAAACATACATTGTTTCTTTAGTAATCTATTTAATAAATTTTATTTTAAATCAATGTAATACATATTTATGTTGCTGGAAAGATACAAATCAATTAATACTGTGTGGCATACAGCAGCAGCAGTAAGAAATCTTTTGGCACTTTTATTTCATCAATTTTCAAATTCAAATAAAATATTTTTTGTGACATTTTTTAATTTCAATAGGTTTATTTAATTTCACAAATCATAATTGAACGAGAAGCAGAGTTCATCTTTAAACTGAAATGATATTATATGATGCAATTTACTGACCCAAAAAAAAACAAAAGGAAAATTTTAGAGTATTGTGTTTGTTTTCTTTATTGATATACTTATAACATAGTTGTAATATAGGTTTATGTATTGTTTTTGTTTTGATTTTGAAGTTAATTATTATAGTGTGTAACTTTGTTTTGTAAATTAATAAAGAGAAAATTAATCTACAACTCCTTATAATTTCAGCTCATTGTTAGTTAAGTCCTTATGATTTTTTTCTTTTTATTATGTCCTTATAGTTTCCTGCGTTATAAACAGAAACATCTCATTCACAAGTTTGAGCGCAAAATATGACTGAACTAGAGTTTCAGTTCTATTTCCTGGTTAAAAAAAAGTTCTTTTTAAAATTTTAGTGAACTTCAAAATTGTATATAATTTTTAGAAATTTAAAGGTTTATATAATTAGCCTTCGATTTAAAATTTACAGGCACTTGTGTCCAATCAAATTAAGGTGTGTAGATTTTTCACGCATTATTTATGCTAGGGTAAATAAATAAATTACCCCCTAAGTTCAGTAGTAGCATAGATTCTTAACTTGTTTATTATGTAAATTATTCCCTCAACTTTTATAAATGATACAATTTAACTCTTGTCATTAACAAAAGTTAACTTTAACCATTAGTTTATCAAAATGATTAAAAAAGGACCTCTAAGATTAGATAAAATACCAAAATTTGGTCCTTTTTAATCATTTTGCTCCTTTTTGGGTCCTTTATTATAATTTTATAAGGCTTTTTTATCATTTTCTGATCAACTAATATTCAAAGTTAATTTTTTATTAACAATAGGGGTTAGATTGCATTGTTTTCAAAAGTTGAAGGAACAATTTGCAAAATCAACGAGTTCAAGGTCTATGGTGCTACTAGGCCTAAAGCTCAAGGTAATTTACTCATTTACCCCTATTCTATGACAAGTTGTTACTACTTCTTTAAAGTGCACTTGTTCTAGCTTTTTTGATTGTACAAAAGTATTTTTTTTATTGCTTACATGTATCATTCCATTGGAAGCAATCATGTTCAAACTATGGTTGGGTACTAAATGTGGACATTTTTTCTAATAGAGATTTGAATTTTGGTTCGCCACATCATAATGAACTAACCCTTTCTGCTAGAGCAAACTCTTGTTGGTAATCGTATAAAAGTATTTTAATTTTTGAGTGTGGAAGGCTCAGTATCTAAGCTTTCTATATTGTTATACTTTTTAAAATATTAGTTCTGTTTATTATAATTTTTTAATTTATATGGAATAAATCTTTAAAAGTAAAAAAAGGAAATATCACATAATTTGAATTTTAATGAAACAAAATAGATCGAGTTGTCGCATAAAGAACTATGAAATCAATAAGAAAAAATATTAACAAAATTATTAAACTAAGAGAAAATATAAACAAGAAAAAAATCACAATTCTGAACTAATATGTATTAAATTCTATCATACAAAATTATCAGATATTATCAACCCCCTGGCTTGTATACTGAAAAATCTTGCTCTAGCCCAGTGAAATTAAGTAAAAGGAAAAAGGTTAAGAAAAAAAATTTCAATTAATAGTCTAATACTCATAGGAACTTGAATGTCTACATCCACTAATAGTACTTCTCCTAACGCATCAACATCTCATGTATGAAAATATATGAAAATTTAAATTTATTTTCTGTGTTTGTAAAAGTTTTAAGGTGAAAAGAATTAAGAAAATCACAAATTACTCTTGGGGTGCTAGGGTAATTGATTTGTTTTTAAAATTCAATCCATAATTATTGAATAATCTATTAATTCAAATTAATATTTTTGTAAAATAAAAAAATGAAATTAAATAGGTAAATAATGTATTTTTAAAAATAAAGGGAGAGGGAGAAAATATACACGTCATCAATGGGTCCATTGTGGGTATGATGTGGATTATTTTTTTATCAGATCCCCCCTGAGGGACTAATATGGAGTATTTCCATTGAAAAAAAATATGAATGATATTTTTAACAATGAAATATACATCATAGGCATAAAAAAAAGATAAAATGTTTTTTATTTAAGGAATTAAAATAAGTTCAGTGGCAGATTCTAGAGATAATATATAAATTATATAAGAATTTTTTAAGCAACACCCTCTCATTACCATATGTAGAAAATAAATTGATTTGTTTTTAGAGGCCGTGTGTGTAACAACTTTTTATGACGTAAAATTTTAATGTTGGTTAAAAAAAATGGATTGTGTTAAACATATCAAGTATACTATAATTTTTATTTTAAAAAAATCTCAGTTATAAATTTCGCAAACAATATAGAATAAGCAGAATAATAAATGAAAAGTTCATTAAAGCATCTAAAATTAAGATATGATAGATTGGATGTACCTGTAAAGAAGTTGTATTGTAGAAATAAATCTACCACAATGTTCCATTGAAAGGAATGGATCCACTCAAGTGATTTGATCCCAAATCTAAGATTTCAAGTTTAGCGAGATTTCCTATTTCTTTAGGTATAAAACCTGGAAACACAAAAAGTGATAGGTAATAACATTTTTATAACAGAATGAACTTAAAAAGACATAATATTTTTTAATATAACAAAAAAAAAGTGCACATATCTTACTAATTCCAAAAACATTAATATTTATGTTATGCTAGAGATAATTCTTCAAATTGTTTTCACATTAAATTATAATTATTAAAGTAGAAACGTTAAAGAGAGATGATGAAATTCCACGTATTTCAATTAAAAAGTAAACAGCATATAATTATTGATTTTTAACAATAATTGATCTAGGTGACATAAAAATAATAAAATTAAGATGATAATCATAGAATGAGACAAGAAAGCTTTATGAAATCATATTAATTGATGGCCATTTTCTAGGAGTCAAAAAATTAATCTAACAATAGCAAATAGAATTTACACATATGACGTCAGTGCATGCAAGCATATATTTGAATATCTTGTCTAATCGTCATAGGGAAGGGGACACACACATGCATTACTCACCCACTCAACACATTAATACACAACCCCTAACTAAACCACACACACTTGCCTAACCTAATGACTTTTAAACTCCGCCTATTTTTGGCCTTACGGGGAGTAGAATTTAGAACCCCTTGCATTAAGGGGAATGTTGGTGCCAATGAATCAAAGGATACTTGGCTTTATCATAAATATTACCAACATGACATGCCCCAATTATCTGTCTTTCTACATCTTGTTTGCACCGTGAGCGCGCGCGCACGACATTTCTTTTTTATTATTTACTATTATTTGTAATAGATTTTTTATATTTACTTAAATAATTTTTAAGCTAAATTTTTCATTCCTTTATATTTTTAATAAAAATTAAATATAAAATATGCTTTTAATTTTAATATATAAAATATAATTTTTAAAATAAATAAGAAGATAAAACTATGAAGTAAACTATGTTTAACTCTATCATACGAAAATTATTAAAGGAGAAAAAAGAGCCAGGGAAAAAATTCAAGAAATACTCATTTCATCCTATAGAAGAGTATCGTTTCCAACATCTCATGTCTTTTATAAAGTTTATATAAAAATATGTAAAGTAATATATTTGCAACAAATTGAAAATTTTGAAGAAATTAAACACGTAGAATTGTAATTTTTTTAGCAAAGGGAGGGAAGAAAATGGGAAAACAAAAGAAAAATTCCCTTGAAATATGTAAATGACAATGAGGTCCTGAGAAATTATGTGATAATTCTTCTCAAGTACCTTCAAACCTTTCTAACATTAATGTCTTTGCACAATGATTATAATGACCCCAATTTATACCAGAAACTATTTTGATTTAAATAATAACTACTTTTCTTCTAGTAATGACTAAAATGGGATAATAAATAACAAATTCTGCTTTGTAAATTTTTTAATCAGTGATCTATTTCTTTTTAATTTTTATTTTAATATAAGAAAGGTCTCAAGGGACTTGAGAAGAATTATTACATTTCATGAAACTTCATTGTTATTTGTAAAGTTCAAGGAGACTTTTCTATCATTTTCCCAATAAAATATAAAGTTAATTTTTTGATTACCCACAAGTAATCTCCTTTTGAAAGCAATCATGTTGAAGGCATAGTTGGGCACTAAATTATGGATAACCCTCTCCTAATGGGAATTTGAGCCTTGATTTGTTACATTGTGAAAGACTAATTTCTTTTACTAGATCCAAATCCAATTGATATTTTTTATTCATATATTAATTTTTATTAATTATATAAAAATATTTATTTATTACTTTTAGAAAAATACATAAATAATTTAACTAAAAGAAAATCTCAAACACAAATGTACAAACAAAACTTAATAAAACAGGGATTTAATATAATAAAAGATAAATTAGTCAATATAATCTATATTTACTTTTCTTTAAATTCTATTGATTTTAACACAATATTTTTATATTAGTTATTTAAATATAGCCATACAAGTTCTAAAATTGGAAGAAAAGGGAGTAGACAATTACATTACGGGAGGAAATTAATAATTTTTAAATTTTTAACACAATTACTAATAAAAGATGAAGTACTTTAAATCTTTAACAGAATATTCATTAACGGTATTGAAAATTAGACTAAAGTGTGGGTTTGAAAATAGATGAGAGATCTATGTAATTTTAGCAAATTAGAAGAGAGATCATTATATTTTAGTCTTTTACTCAATTATTGAATATTATCAAGCCTTGGATTTTTGGAAATAAGTATAAATCTTAATATTGAATCTCCGAAAGAAAAAAAAAATTATGATTCGGGTGAAGTTAAGAAAAGAAGAAAAGACAAGGGAAATGTAATGTTATACTTGTTCCGGCCTAGAAGAACCAACTTCTCATGTCTATTATAAAGTTTAGACAAAAATATAAAAATTAAAATGCACATTTTAATTGTTTTTGAGTCTTCGTAACAGATTTAAAATATAATCTTTTCATAAAATTATAAAATTCCTTTGAGGTGCGACAAGTTAAGTAGCAACTATTGAATTTATTGTTTAATTAAAACTTAATAATTTTGCTAAATAAAAAATAAAAAATGTAAAAGAATTGGAGAAAAAGATAAACAGGTAAAAAATATTGTTTGATTCTTTTCTCTACTTTTATGTTCTTGCAATATTTCTATAGAGTAATTTTTTTAGAACAAGTTTTACAGCCATTTTTTTTTAACAAATTGTTTGAATTATTATTCTGAAAAATATATCTAAATGATAAAGTGAATAGTGAAATGGTTGTTTACTTTATTTAAGTAATGTCATTAATGAAAACATGATGTTCTCTAAATCTTTTCTAATTTTGGATAACAAAAGGTGATAGAATATTAAAAAGATCTGATTTTTCTAGTTTTTCATGACAACCTCTAATTTTGTTTTGCTTTTTCAGAACATGGAACCAAAAACACATTATTTTTATAAATATAAAGCTAAAGTTAATAGGACCTAGAAAGCTAAAATGTAGAAAAAGTATAGAAAATGTTGGTCCACAGTGAAGTTTTTTAAAATTGAATAGAGTACAAATGATGTGTCATACTAAGAGCCAAGAGGATTTAAAATTTTCACTTTTATTTCATGTTATACAAATATCATGAATGAACAATATGAATGAAATGATGAAAAAACAAAATCTTTTTTAGAGAAAAATAGTTTAAAAAAGAAGCAATACATACCTGTAAACGAGTTACTATCCATAAACAACATTTTCAAAGATGTGCAGTTACTTGATCTTGGAATGCCTCCCTCTAAATAATTATCACCAAGATCCAATAATTTCAACAAATGGAGTTGATGGCACATTTCTTCAGGCAAACTACCATTTAAATGATTTAGGTAAAAGACAACCTCTATCAAAGAAGACATGTTCCAAATAAATGAAGGAATTTTGCCTATAAAAAAATGTTTATTTGGTGTTAGTACACATAAGACTAGCAATTCGCCAAATTTGCACATAATGATTTAAATAATACATGGGAATGCGTTAATTAGAGGCTTAACATTAATAGAAAAATAATTTAATTGTTGTTGGAAAGCAATTTAAACAGGACTCTTTCAATTTAAAATCCACAATTCTTAGAGCAGAAATGCTAAAGAGAGATGATGGAATTTCACCTATTTCAATTTAAAAATGAAGAGCATAAAAATTATATTAAAATAAGCTAAGAGTTACAAGAGTTTGATTGATTTTTAATACTAAATTGAGCTTGAAAAGAATAAAAATAAAGATAATGATAGAACGAAACAAGAAAGCTATATATGAAGTTATATTTAATGATGGCGATTTTCTAGGAATGAAAAAATTAATCTAACATTGATAAATAGAATAAACATATATTTTTATAAAAATATTTCAATGTTCACGTATGTGTATGAACATATCTTGGAATAGTAGAACTATGGCCCCTACTATGCATGTTCTAATCAGTTGGCAACTCTTTGTGCATGACTAGCACATTATATGAATATAGAAAATGAATGAAATGATGAAAAGGCAAATCTCATTTCAAATTTATTTCTATTGGAGAGATTCGGAATAAAATCAAACACCGATCCACCCAAACCCTTACTTATACGGATAAGGTCATATCTGTAAACGAAGTGGCACGCAAATATAACTCTATCATTATTCATAATTCTCTTTGGAATTAAATAATATAATCTAGAAATAAAACCTTTTTACTAAATATTATTTAATAAAATTAATGTACAATTTAGATTATCCAAAGCAAAGTTGAATGTTCTTTATATGCGCCTTGTAAGGCTTAATCACTCATTTTGAAAAACCCTCAAAAAAAGTTTAAGTGACAGAATAATATACACTTATTTTAAAGATAAAATCAAACCAATATATGAATGTACAATATGAATGAGAGGTGAAAAAGAATTCCTTTTTAGATTTATTTTATTTGAGAAAAAGATTAGGACACAAGTGCATACCTGTAAATGAGTTGGTGGCCAAATATAATCCTTTTAAAGATGTGCAGTTACTTATTGATTTTGGAATGTTTCCCTCTAAATAATTATCATTAACAGACAAGAATTCCAGTAAAGGGAGTTGATGACACATCCCTTCTGGTAAATTGCCGTTTAAATGATTCCTTCTAAGGTAAACCTCCCTCAAAAAAAGCCATGTTCCAAAGAAATGAAGGAATTTCACCTAAAAAATGCAAAATATTATTTTGTTTGATGGTTAAGACAAACAAGCTTATACTTATTGAATGAAAATATCTTCAACAATTGAAACTTTTGGAGACAATATATATATATATATATATAATACACAAAATTTCCTTGAAAGCATAAAATTATGCAAGGGTTGCATTAACACAAATTGTTTCTTGTTAGTTATATTTTACATTAAAGTGAGCATGTGGTTAGAAGCTCTCGCAATGCTCTTCAACACTCAACAAATATAGGTGTCAAAAAAAGAATAAAAATTAGATATAATAATAGAATTAAACATGAAAGCTTTATGAAGTTTTATTAATTGACCACATGAAATCTTCTAAGAGTTCAAAGAATACAATGGAACTATAGTAGATAGAATAAACATATATATATTTTTATGAGAGATTTGGATGTATCATCAAAATTACTTTGGCACAATACTCTTCCTGTGTAGAGATAGTGTCACGAGATTACACACACACACACACAAGACATTCATATTTTTTATCACATCATTTTAATACTTCCTTTGAGAAATAAGGCTAACATACTCTAAATGATAATATAAAAGTACAATTAATTTGGAAAAAAAAATGACCCGTAATTGGAAAGACTGATAATCATAGACTAAATTAGTTGTCAGTTTGTCATGTATTGTGTGTGCGCGCGCGCGCGTTCATGTGTGATTCATTGTGAAATATGGACGGATTGTCTATATTAAAAAAATAAGAAAACTTTCCATGAAAAAAATAAGGTGCAAGGAAAAATGAAAAATGAAAGGTAATATATATGAACATCAAAACCTAACTAGTCATTACTATAAAATTAAGATAATCTTTATTATAAAATCTTTTTAAAGACAAATCTTTTAAATATATGAAGTTACTTATATTACATTTCACAAATTGATAAAAAGATTTATTTGGAGATTATTTTTTACATAATTTGTGGGCCCACCATTATGTGAACAAACATACAAATACACACACCAAAAACCCGAACGCAACACAAACATAAAAAACATATTTTAAAAATAAATTATTTTAAAATTACTTTTATTTGAGAGATTAAAACAAAAAAATAAATCACACGTATGATTTGAAACAAACATATAATTTAAACTCTTACCTTGTAAATTGCTATTGTCAAGACACAAGAATTGGAGGTTTGTCAAATTTCCAATATCGCTTGGAATGATTCCTTGTTTGAACATGTTATCACCTAATTGTAACTCTACCAATTCCTTGCATTGATGCCAAACGGAAGGCATTTTTTCAGACAAATTATTTCCATCAACATAGAATATTTCAAGTTTTGGAAGTCCAAAGCACACATTTGTTGGGAGACTCCCAGATAAATTATTTATTGCAAGATCAACTTGTTGTGGCAATGATATGTTAAATAATGAGATTGGTAAAGAACCAACAAGTTGATTATCTCCAAGATATATCATCTGTAGCTGTGTAAGATCACCAATCTCATTTGGAATGCCTCCTTCAAATATCAAAAGAAAGTAATATGTCAATATATATCTAAATCATATGGAAGAATTTTCAAAAGTATGCATTTTTATGCATGTTTTCAGTTTTAACATTTTCAATCTAGTTAATAATAAAATAAAATTAAAATATAATTTGAATAGTGTCCATATTAAATTAATAGTATCCAAATTAATTTGAATAGTATCCAAATTAAATTAAAACATGCATTTATATGCATGTTTTCAGTTTAAACATTTTTATGCGTTGTAGTAAGCTTTACTGTTTTTTTTTAAACAACCCTTCAAGATGTTTTCAATGATAGAATACACATTTATCTTCAAGGACTGGTGATGCCCCTTGATTTGTTATCAGGACTAATATATTCTTTATTTCCATGCGAGCAATTATTTGAATGCATTGTTGTAAAGGAACAAATATTTTCTCTTCAGTTGCATGTTGATTTTTATTGGGAAAAAAAATTTGATAACCAATTTTTTTAAATTCATCAAATACCAAAAAGCAATAAAAAAATCGAGACATTCCCAGATTCCTCAAGGGTGATATCCCTCTGCAGACCGAATAGATCAATTTTGAACAAAGACAAATAATAAAGAAATTAAAAATAATCCAAAACATAAATATTGATACAAATAATCGAAAAACATAGATATGTGATTTATTTGATGTAGTAAACCAAGGAGCAATAAAAAATTAAAATTTTATAATTTGATAATTAATATTATATCAAATGATTACCATATTGATAGTAAAATTACCAAGAATATTAAATTTTAAATAAATTATTTTTATTAATATAATTACTAATTATACTACATCTAATATTAGTAATTTAATTTATTTAATGCATTGAATAAAAAATTAGATTACTCTTCCTATTATTCTATTTCTTTTGGAGTGCTTCTTCGTTCGAAGCATTACAGAAGGTGATTCTTTGTTTTCTTATTATTTGTGTAAAGTCTTATGGAGCGTTTTTGTCTGGAAGTGCTCTAGAAGACTGATGATACACTTATTTTTAGAAACACTCCAATATGATCCACCTCTATATTTCAGAGCATTTTTACATGTAAGTGTTCTGAAACGGATGCTTTTGTAATTTTTCCTTTTTTGGGTAGTAGTGATACCTAACGAAGTAGTATAAGATAAATTTAATAACTCAAGTGAAGATAAGTTATAAATTGTTCAAGAAAATATTCCTTGAAGTTTGTTTCTCAAAAGTTGTAAAATTTTCAAGCGCTTAAGTCTCCCTACCTCAACAGAAATGACTCCTTCAATTAGATTATAATTTCAATCTAATGTCTCCAACCTTGATAGACTGAATAGAGATAGTGAAATAAATCCATCAAAGTTATAGTTCTTTGTATCATATATATGCCATTTTATTCATAATTCATTTTGATATTAAATAATCTAACCTAGAGCTAATTGAAATTTGAATTATGATTTGATCACGATAAATCATATATCACATTTCGTGTCTTCAAAGTAATCTAGCAGAAAATCAAGATATATAGGAATTGGAGATTGGTCAAAATCATTAAGATTAGGCAAAACATAATCTTTGGTCCTTATAGTTTCATCGAGTTTTGTTTTTAGTCTCTGTAATTTTTTTCATTGTTTTTAGTCCCTATAAAGACTAAAAATACTGAAAAACAAACATTATAGTGACTTGAAAACAAAGGTCACCTGATCTTTTTGAAACTATAGAGACTAAAAATACTAAAAAAACTACAAGAACTGAGAATAAAACTCAATAAAACTATAGAGACCATTAATTGTGTTTTCCCTTTTCCTAATATAAAAAGTAGTTGTTAGTTTGTCACTTAATGTGTGTATGTTTCTATGTGCAATTCATTGATAAATATGGATAGATTGTTTGTACTCTCGGCTGTTACTAAGAAAAAGGGATGGATTGTCTATATTAAAAAGGAAAAGAAAACTTTTCATGAAATAGATAATATACAGGGGAAAATGAATAATGAAAGGTAATATATAAACATGGAAACCTAACTGGTCAATTCTATCAAATTAAGATAATCTTAATTATAAAATATTTTCAAATACATTTCTTTTAATTATATGCAGTTACTTATATTGCATTGGGAATGTTTTCCACAAACTGATAAAAGATTTTTTGGAGATTATTTTTTACACAAGTTGTGGCCCCACTATTATGTGAACAAACAAACAAATTAATACACACACTACACAACCGCATGCATCACAAACATGAAACACATTTTATTTTTATTCGAGAGATTAAAACAAACAAACAAAATCACATGTATGGTTTAAAACAATCATATAATTTAAACTCTTACTTTGCAAATTGCTATTGGCAAGATATAAGACTTGGAGGTTTGTCAAATTTCCAATAGTACTTGGAATGATTCATGGGTTAAACATATTATCACCTAATTATAAGTTTGCCAATTCTTTGCATTGATGCCAAATGGAGGGTATTTCTCCAGACAAATTATTTCCATCCACATAAAATAATTGAAGTTTTGGAAGCATAAGACACATATTTGTTAGGAGATTCCCTGATAATTGATTTGTACCCAAATCAATGTGTTGTAGCAGTGATATATTAAATAATAAGATTGGTATTGTACCAACAAGTTGATTATGTTCAAGATATATTCTCTGTAGTCGTGGAAGATCACCAATCTCATTTGGAATGCCTCCTTCAAATATCAAAAAGAGGAATAATATGTCAATATGTATCATGAGCAGTAACAATATCGAAGAATTTTTTAAAGTATGCATTTTTATGCCTGTTTCAAGTATGAATACTTTCTCAATCTTGTGTTGCATGTGTTCTACATTAAACATGATATATAGGGGTAGTTATATGCATTTTTATTGACAACAGATTCAAAAACAAAAATTATACTTAAGGATAAGGTTCATAGAAAATCAAGCTCACAATGTTAAGAAATATAATTATTTTCAAAAAATTAAATTTATTACTAACTAACTAAATCCCGTTCGTATAGGGTATAGACCAATGAAGATTATTTTTCTAGTTGAAGAAAATATAACTTATATTTTATAATAACGTGTTTAAAGCAAGTTGCCGATGTGAGATCCTTGATAAATGTTAATCTGTAAATATATCTGTGTATATAAGTACTTTTGGAATTATAAAGCATATCCTAACTCTTAAGTCTTAAGTTTTCAATTATTGAAGACCTAACTCACCTAAACTTCAACATAGAATATAAAAAGTTGTGGTCAGTTGCATTATTTGATTTGAGGGTCAAGTCTCAACACAAAAATTTCATTATTAGAACTAAGTTATGCTATAGTATTATTATTGAAAAACTGAATGCTATGTTATACCAACTTACTTACGGTCGTTTGTGTAATTATAATGGATTTAGTATTTATCATTAAAGAAAAACAATGTTCACCGCATCTAAGATTGGTTTAAGGGGGAAAAAAAAGAAACGAGAATGAAGAGAAAATTGGTTAAAAAAAATGACGACAAAAGAAGCTTACTTTCCCTTCAAGTCCAAATCATGTCATAAATGTGATAATATAGATATTTCATGTACGATCTGAGTAAACATTCTTTATATCTAAATTTTGAATTTTAGTAATTTTAGTTTTAGCAATATACGTAACAAAAAAAATTCAATATTTGACTGCAACTTTTAAAAAGAAATAATAGTTAATAATAAATAATAAAATTAAAATATAAATTGAATAGTCCAAATTCCTGATGGATGTAAGCTTTACTCATTTTGAAATACAACCCATGTTTTAATTATAGAATTGACATTTATTGCATTCCCATGATAGCTCTTACTTGAATATATTTTCGTAAGCGAACAAATATTCTATTTGCTACAGTTGCATGTTGGTACGTGATTTATTGAAAGAAAATCGATAACCAATTTGTTTTCAAAACCAAAAAACAAAAACTGAAAAAAAAGTGCACAAAAATACCCAACAAAATATAAATTAGTTTAGACAACTTAACTTAGATCCTTCCACATGATCCTCAAGTGTATTATGCTAACCAAATAGACTAGGGTGAAAATGAATATAGGTATAAAAAATAATTTCAAAACATACCTGACAAAGTGTTAAAAGAAAAACTCAGTAATTCAAGTGATGATAAGTTAGAAATCGTTTGGGGAATGGTTCCTGAAAGCTTGTTATCCGCTAGTTGTAAAATCTTCAAATGCTCAAGTCTTCCCACCTCAACAGAAATGGTTCCTTCAATTAAATTAAAATTCCAATCTAATGTCTCTAACCTTGATAGATTGAACAGAGATAGTGGAATTAATCCATTAAAATTATTATATTGAAGATTTAAGTGCTCCAGTGTAGATATATCTCCTATCCATGCTGGAACTTGTCCATGAAAGTCATTGTAACTTAAGTTCAATAGTTTCAATCTACGAAATCGAACAAACTCTGTTGGTATTTGATCATGAAAATTATTGCTACTAAGATCAAGTTCAACAAGAAATGAGAGATTTCCCAGTTGTGGAGATATGGTGCCTTCAAGATTCATGCCATCAAGATTCAAGGAACGGACCCTTCCATGGTGAGTATTGCAAGTGACACCAACCCAACTGCATGGAGAAGAAGAGGGAAACCAAGTAGATAAGGAATCATGTGGATCTGAAGTGATAAAATATTTAAAGCCAAGAAGTGCAGATTTATCAGCAGTGACGTTTGTATCAATCAAAGCTAAGGAGGATATGAAACAATGGAATGAGAAGATCAAGAAAGCAAAGGAAGGAGGTTTTCCCATGCTTAGCGTGTGAGACTTGTCAAAATTGCAAGTTGTGTATCTACGAAATCACACATATATCATTTTATACTTCACCAATTCCAAATCAAGTCAAAGCGTGCAAGCACAATGACAAATAGAAAATCAAAAGGACGCCTCTTTCATGATCAATAAGATTAAGCAATTCAACTAAAATAATAATTATAAGTAGTGTGTTTGGTAAATTATATCTGTTTTTTATATTTAAAGATATTACTTTTACCATCTCACATTTGATTTTACCACATCAATATCACAGCTATCTTGAATACTTTTTGTTTCAAGCATTGAGTATTTTAACCTTCTCAGTTTTGACATGTAATTTTCTCGATAAGGCCTTTTAACATTTTCAATGATGAATATGTAATTCCCCTCCTATTTCTACGGGGATGAATGTTTTTAATAGAACACAAGTAATTTTATTTTAAATAAAATAGCATGCAGTGAATGGCTTCCATATTAATCAATCAATCAAAATAAAAAATATAAGGAGAGAGGGACGAAAAATTTAAGCCAATACAAACCTGAATATCGATTCCTATAGAAATTTCATACTATACCTTGTGTTTGTTTCAAGTTAATTTTAATTCTCTACTTTTCTTGTATTTATAGCTTATATATTTTAATGAATATATAATAAGATACATAAATTGTATGGAAAGGTTATTTGCAAAGAACTCATGGTAATCTTAATTTTAAATTTAAAGTAACACTCAATCTCTCTACAAAAGAGAAATTCAGTACGTGACCCTAAATTCCGCATTACATTATTTGATTTGACGGTATGAAAATGTGGCGTAGAAAAAATGGAAAGAAAAAAGACATGATAAGAACCTTGTTGATCTTAACATTGTGTTGTCTCTACCAATGAAACCCAAAATCTGTTTCACTTTCAAAATTAAATGGTTAGTCCACGAGGGACCGTATGTTAATTATCATTTCAATATTTTAATTTGCAGTCAGTCAAAAAAATTTGTGCTTCTATCTTTAACGATTTTGAGATATTGATAGGCATTTCATATAAAAGTCTTATCAACAACCCATTTGTCATGAAGCGCTTGACTCTCAAAGTCACACTTCCTTTCACACAAAAATTATATTGAAGGATCATAAAAAATTAAAACGCAATTTGCAAATTTGATTTATAAATTTTAATTATTAATAATAATTAAAGAAAACGTGTTGACAATGTGAATAATCTGATTTTAGTTCAAAGCTGAATATTGGTCACTATAACAATGTAAAAGATAAAGGAAAAACTAATCTGATGTATATAACCAAGTGTTTAATTAACATGATATTACGTATACATCTCTAAAATACTTCTTACTACAGGACACACACACAATCTATAGTATTTAATATGTTTTATCTCAAAGATACTTTTAAAAATATGCTTCTAATTAATGAAAAATTTAAAAGAGAATGAAAAAGATAATAGTATTTAATGAAAAATACTTATAAAAATTGTTGTAACTTTAAAAATAGCAATTAATTTGTTATTAGGCTGAGCAGTAAATTTATTTAATAAAAATTATTTGTTTTTTGTGGGGTGATCATTTCCAGCTTTGTAAAGTCTTTCGTATTAATTGACTTGTTAAACGACTTTTGCGTGTTAAAAAAGGGAAAAATTACAATTAGGATTTTTTGTTAGAGACGTTCAAATAATTGGTGATCAAAAATATATTTGCTGTTGACAAACATGGCGTAGATATTGAATTATGATTACATATAATCAAATTCTTTTCTAGGTCATAATGCCGGTCACTTTTTAAAGTCTTCCAATATGGACTTGTGATTCACGTCTGAGAGAAAAATGTAAACAAACACTTAATGTTTTATTTGACACAATCCAGCTTTTTGAAGTCTTCCATCATCACTAACATATAATCAAATTTTTTATAACCATAATCCAACCATTTTAAGTCTTCCACACTATTGACTAAGTATTGTCATGTCTATCTTTAACAACCAACATACATATATAATTATGTACTCAGTAATTTGCAAGAAAATTACATCCAACAACCATATTAAGACCTTTTTAATATTGGAGAAATGGGAGGGCTCAGTAAAAATAGCTTTCTTGATTCTTGTAGAAATCCTTGCAGATGTGTTCCTGCATTGTTCATTGGTAGCATTTATTGACAGATGGAAAGGAAGCGATACTCCTAATTTTACCATCCTACATCCTCTTGACTACAAAAATATTACTCCTATTTGTAAGCTTCTTCCACAATTTTTATCAGAATTAAGGAAATTTTAAATCTCATTGATAATTCTGTCTAAAAATTTTACAAATTTCCAACTTCAATACTTCTATTAAATATACATACTTTAATAATAAAACATTAGCATTTAAAAACCTTCCCAACATTTAATAAAGCCATTAGAAATGGGTGATGTTGCTTTATTTTTACACTTCCTAGACAATATTGCTTCTTCAAAAAGGTAATGATAGTCAAAGTTTCTGTCAAAAAACTTTTAAGACATTTTTCCCTCTTAATCCAAAAATAATTAATTTTTCTCAAAACATACTTTAAATAATAATATTGACACGAACGAAATATTTTATAGTTAAACAATTGTATTGGATGTATTATATGCATCGATCTTTATTTATAAGTGTATGGCGTATTTGACTTGTGAGTAGACTTCACAGTCTTCCCACTTCATTTCACATGAATCAGTTGATAATTAACTCAAATTCGTTCAAGAAAAAGCACAATTTTCATTTTTACTGACCACAAATCAAAATAATGCAGTGATATCAACATGTGATCACTCATCTATGTGATAACATAAATACAAAGGCGAAGACAAGTAAGGAACAGAAAGCTATACTATTTTCTAAGGGAAATACAAAATCGAGAGAATAAATTTATGAATACTAGCTCAGAAAAACTTTTATTTTTAATTAACCCCTAACAAATTTAGTCCATTAACCAGTCATCAAAGTGATCATATAGATATTTCATAATCGAATAGTGAGTGATTGTGGGTGTATCATCATTATTGCGTTGAAAAATCAAACAGAAAATAATAAAAATGATAAGATAGATTTTTTTTAACTTTAAATGAAAATTTATTATTAAAATTTTGAGGTAATTAAATGGTTGATTTCTCAAAGAAAATATCTCAACCAACGTAAAAATTGCATATATCATGGTCTGACCCATAAGAAAAACATTTAATAAGAACACAAATATGACCAAATTTTCATTATCACTTCACAGTATCTTTTCATTTACAGTCAAGTTTGGTACGCTACAGAGATCCCCAAAAGAATGTTAGCGAGAAGAGCAAAAAGCCACATAAATGAGACCTTAGGAATCACAATCAATGTTCTCAGAACTAGAACAGAAATTGAACTAGTCAAGATACACTTCACTCAACCATGGTTGGACCTATATCAATCAAAATAATATTTTTAATCAAAAAACACAGAAACAAAATAACTTCAACAATATTTATCCAAATATTGCCAGATATGCTACTTGTCCTAATATGTCCAGTAATATTTGTCCATATCAGTCTCATATATGCTAAATTAAACTAACAAAATCTCATACTTGCCCAACTCAAAATACTATTTATTGTCTATTACAAATTACGAAAATCATCAAGTATATATGCCAAATAAATTGTCTAACTAAGCTAGTACAAATTTTCATAATTTACTAGAGCCACTAATAAATCATATATATAGTACTAAAAAAACCAAAAGATAAATAAAAACACAAAACAACATTGTTTTGGGATATTGAAATTAAAAAAAATCAGGAAAAAATGAAGCACCATATTTTACAATAAACATCAAATTAAGGAAGCAATGCCGTAATTGATATTTTCTTTTGAAAAAAATTTAAACGAAAGATGAGCATAATTGTTGAGTCAAACATAAAACACATAAAAATATGCATAATAATCTTAATTTTAAATTTAAAGTAACACTCGTTAATCCCTCTACAAAAGAGAAATTCAGTAGTTGACCATAAATTCAACCTTACATTATTTGATTTGATGGTATGAAAATGTTGCGTAGAAAAAGTGAAAAGAAAAAAGAAAATTAATATGTTCTACCATTAATATGTTCCAATAATTTCAAGAATATCTTCTTCAAAGAATTTAAGGAATTTATTGAACTTGTAAATTTATTAATCAAATTTAGAAATTTCTAATAATTCATATAATCTTATTAATCTTAACACAACTGTGTTCTCTCTACCAATGGAATCCAAAATCAAGTTTCAAGTGTTTCATTTCAAAATTGAAAGGTCAGTCAATGAGGGACCCTATTTTCATTATCATTTCAATATTTTAATTTGCGGTCAGTCAAAAAGACATTTGTGTTTTTTTTATTGAATAATTTTGAAATATTTATAAGTTGTTTGGTATGGAATGGAGTGCGACTTTGAAGTCTACTCTGAAATCAAATAGGTCTTATATCTATAAATAAAGGTTAATATTCTAATGCGACCAGTAAGAGAAGTTGATGTATTGAAAGAAAAAACAATCCATTTGATAAGAAACAACTTATGAATGATACAAAAAAAAAAAGAGCTACTTCATTTATTTATGCAACTTCATTTATTTATGTGTTAAAATTTTATATCAGTAATAGTTGATGACTTTTTGAAATCCTTAAAATTATAAGAGCAAGGATCGTTTTTAGATTAAAGTAGAAAAACCCGAAATGAAATTTGAGATTATCTTCTTTTTCCCGAATATAAAATGTACAATAATGAATATAAATATTAGTGAACCATGCGATGAAGTCTTGATTATTGGTTTGATTTTAAAAATTGTATCATTGGGTTTAAGTAGATTTAAGTCATGATGTAAAGCTGGTGGCCCTAGTGGCCCAATGGCATGTGCACTCCTCCTTTGATGCGCGTTCGATTCCGAGAGTGGGAAAATTTGTAGCAGGTGTGTTTCCTTCCTATGGGGAAGGAGTGTAAATATCGGGGGTGAGTAGATAT